GACGATGATGTTGATTCCACCCTGCTCCCAGGTCCCAAGTGGGTTGACAATGACACCACCCTGCTCCCAAGTGGGTCAACAACACCTCAGCCCCTGCTTCTGCCCAGTCTATCAAATCGCCATTGATCCTGCTTTTGAAGCTGCAGCCCCAGTTGGTTCCACTGCTACAACCTTCATGTGAGCATGGCCCCGGACAACAGCATCTTCTGCGCCCCTACTACCTTCCATACTGGTCCTGCGGTCGCCCTCTGGAACAGCCTCTCCTGTGGGTTTTTACAAGCCGCTGGGGACATCCTACTGACCGGCCGCCTCTTCAGTTCCCTGTCTGTCGCCATGGACGTCCTCCCAACTGGGCACCTCATCAGTTCCCTGTCCGGTACCAAGGCCGATTTCCTGAGCGGCTGTCTGGTCTCTGGTCTGGTCACCAGAACGGTTGCTTGTCACGGCCAGAGCCTGTAACTCCTGCAACCCCATTCTTGGGGGTCACCCCTGAGTGGTGGTGCCCTGTTTTTTTTTTTTTTTTTTGTTTGTTTTTTTGTGGGCACCCCGTGACCCTGGACTATGTATAGTTTCTGTTTTCTGACTGTTTTGTCCCAGTTTCCCCATTTTTGTTTTTGGGACTTTGAACTTTTTGTTTCGAACCGGTGGTTTGAGGTTTTTGTTTTTTGTTTTGTGCCCTCCTTCCTGGCCTCCCTGCTCGGTCTTGCTCTGGTTTTGGGTTTTCTTTTGTGTTTTTGGATGTCTGGACGCCATCCTTGAGGGGAAGGTGCCGTCATGGTTTGGACCTTTGCTTCCTGTTTTTCTGTTGTTTTTTCCTTGTCTCTCCCTGTCAAAAAAAAACTTAGAAAAAATCAACTGGACTACATTTCTAGGTTGAAGACATTTCACCTCTCATCAAAGAGGCTTCATCAGTTCTGGAAGTTCTCAGTTCTCTCACTGCCATTCTGCCACATCACTCTAATCAGCCATCATTTCATCCACCTGCTGCTCATTTCCTCCTGGTTCTGCTCCCTATATATACAGGTGCTGGTCATATAATTAGAATATCATCAGAAAGTTGATTTATTTCACTAATTCCATTCAAAAAGTGAAACTTGTAAATTATATTCATTCATTACACACAGACTGATATATTTCAAATGTTTATTTCTTTTAATTGTGATGATTATAACTGACAACCAATGAAAACCCCAAATTCGGTATCTCAGAAAATTAGAATATTACTGAATACCAATACAAAGAAAGGATTTTTAGAAATCTTGGCCAACTGAAAAGTATGAACATGAAAAGTATGAGCATGTACAGCACTCAATACTTAGTTGGGGCTCCTTTTGCCTGAATTACTGCAGCAATGCGGCGTGGCATGGAGTCGATCAGTCTGTGGCACTGCTCAGGTGTTACGAGAGCCCAGGTTGCTCTGATAGTGGCCTTCAGCTCTTCTGCATTGTTGGGTC